CCCCCCCCCCGCAGGTGGCTACTCTTGGGGCCTGGGCCCAGCCCCCGCACTGTCACTCGCCCTGTCCCCAGCCAGTGCGACCCCTGTCCTGCCCGGGGAGGACGAGGCCCAGCAGACGGCGGCGCAGATCGCAGGGGCCCTGGGCGGCCTGCTGACGCCCCTCTTCCTCCGGGGCGTCCTGGCATACCTCATCTGGTGGACGGCCGCCTGCCAGCTGCTGTCCAGCCTGCTGGGCCTCTACTTCCACCAGCACCTGGCCGGCTCCTAGCGCCGCCCTCGTGGGCCTGAGGTCGGGCCCTCAGCTGTGGACTCAGTGTGCCTCGGTGTCCCCAGCTGCAAGACGGGCTCCCGCTGCCCATGTCCCCCTCACCACGGTGCCTGGCCCTGACCCCCTGTGGACTCCTGGGAACTGGCTCCCCTGCCCCAGGCAAGCCACTGTTGTCGCCAAGCGTGTGCATGCAAGGTTTGAGTGGCAGCTGCCCTCTGGATGAATAAAGGAGAAAGCAGCGTTTTCAAATGGGATCCCAGGGGCGTGGGGAGTGGCACGCACAGGTGATGGCTTCCTGCAGGGCCGGGTGACCGCACGGCCTGGGAGGAGGAAGAGGAGAAGGGGTGAAGGAAAGGAAGGGCAAGCGGGTGAGGAAAAGCTCAAGGCGGATTGGAGAAAGGCACAAATGCAGGGGGGAGGTCGGGGGGTGCACCTGCCTAGCATGTGTGGGACCCTGAATGTCACGTCCCCAGCACTGCAAAAAAAAAAAAAAAGTGGGGACATGGCACAAGTGGTAGAGCACCTGCCTGGCAAGGGTGAGGCCCTGAGTTCAAACCCCAGTACTGACAAATAAGCAAAGCAATAAAAAACCCCAGAGAGCTCGCGTCCAGCGATGGAGGAGGGCAAGGCCACGGTGAAGCAGCAAGGCGTCCGTGCAGAGGAGGTGCGGGGCCAGACGGGAAGATGGGGCTCCTGAGAGGGGGTCCCACTGGTGACAGCAGGACTCCCCCCGCCCCACGGCCTCAGCAGCTCTTAAAGGTCCCACCACCTCTTTTTGTAAAACCTTTAAGCCAGGCCCCAGTGGCTCCCGTCTAGAATCTTAGCTACTTGAGAGGCTGAGATCAGGAGGACTGAGGTTGGAGGCCGCACCACCGCTCCTGGTCATTCACAGGTAGAGCACTGAAGATCAAACGGGCTGGTGAGGGCACGGATGTCTTTGCAGGAATACTGGCGTTTCTGGCCGTCTTTGGGTAGGTCCCCCCAGACTTGTCCCGGACGTGGGGACAAGCCCTGACTCAGGGCTGTGGTCTGCCTGGGTGCTGACTCCAGGGATGGGGACGTGAAGACAGGGTTACCAATGAGCAGGTGGCAGAGGACAGCCCGCAGGGAGGTCCCCAGGCTGGGTGGAGGTGTGGTGGCACAGGCTGTGATTCCAGCACCCAGGCTGAGGCTAGGCAAACGCAGTGCAAAAGCTACGCCACCAGTTACTGCGGACGCACTGCGCATGGGCACAAGAGCCAAAACAAGGCCACTGGACGGCAGTGCCTGCGCTCCAGCACGAGGGAGGGAGGGAGGTCGAGGCAGGAGGCTGGGCACAGGAAGACCCTGGCCCACAAAAACAAAAACAAAGGAACAAATTTAAAAAGGAAATGAAACATGTTAACCCCAGCTGTTTGCAGGAAGAAGAGTGGAGAACAGGAGTTTAAATTTTTATTAAATATACTCTCTTGGCACAAGTCTTTAAAATATATAAACATTATATATAAACAAAGTGACTTCATGGCATCAAAATAGAACTCCCGACCAGCGGCCAGCGGGGCGGGGTGAGCCCAGCCAGGCCCCCGAGGGAGGGACGTGGGCCAGCAGGACCAGGGACCCTCGGCCTTCCCCTCCCGTCTGGCCAGCCATTCGCTGTCACCTGCCTGGGGTGGGCCCCTCCTGACTCCCCGTGGGGGTCCCAGCCTTTCCTGCTGGGTGACAACTGTGCCTCAAAGGACAGTCCCTCCCAGCCATCAGGGACAGAGGTGAGGAAGGCCAGAGGAGTCCTCACACCAGGCTCATGGCAAGGACAGAAAGGCGAGAGGGACATTAAACACAGGCCACCACTGGAAACGTCCGGAGACAGCTCCGACTGCCCAGGTCCCTGTGCCAGGTGGCTGCTGAGCCAGCAAGACGGTGTCAGGGTGTGCGGAGGCCAGGGCCACCCGCCTCCATCAACGCTACTGGTGGCAAGGGAGTTTCTGGGCCTGGAGGGGTGGCCTGGGCGCTGGACATCCCCAGGTTGGTGTGAGCCGCCTCTGAAGTGGCTTCCTGTCGCTGTGCCTAACAGTTGTGGGGGGGGGACACGACCCAGTGGGACCCTCGGGGAAGGCCATGTGCCAGACAGGTGGGAACAGCCAGGAAGTCCTGCTCCTGGGCCCCACCCTGCCCTGGAGGCTAGGGTGTGCCCAAGGCCGTCAGGACAGGGCCTCGGGGACCAAGGCTGGCGCGGGAGAGGCAGGGCCAGCCAGTGTCAAGGGCGCTGGCCCAAAGGACTGAGCGGGAAGAGCGGCTCAGAGCCTAGTGTGCACGGGGGTCACTAGAATCCAGACGGCGGCACGCACGTCACAGGACAGGAGGCGGTGCTGACCGCTCCAGGGCCTCTTGGGTGACACCTGGGCAACCGGCGCCAGTCCCCGGAGGACGGGGAGGGGACCGCCGCGACCCGCAGCGCTCGTCCCAGCACTGCGCTCACCGCTCTGCAAGGGCGCGCCCGCTTCGCGCCCGCGGCCCGCTTGGTCGTCGGGGCGCCCTGGCCGGCCGCGCTCGGGCCGCGGTGGCCTAGCTGTGCAGATGCCGCAGCAGGATCTGCGTGAGGTCGAAGGTGGTGAAGCTGATGCCCACGGCGATGGGGCCCTTGAGCCAGTTCATGCTCAGGCCCTTGTACAGCCCGCGCACCGCGCCCTCCTCGCGCACGATGGTGCGCAGCGTGCCCACGATGGAGTCGTGCGGGTGGCCCGTCACGCCCGCCGTCTGCATGCGCCGCCGCACCACGTCCAGCGGGTAGGAGGCCGACTGGCCGATGAGGCCCGCGCACGCCCCGAACACCATGCGCTCCACGGGGTAGGGCTGCGGCCGGCCGCTGTACTCTGCGGGCAGGCGGGGCGTGAACGCGGGCGCGGACACCGAGGCGCCCACGCTGCTCCCCTCCTGCTCTTCTTCCTGGTGGGCCTGGGGGTCGAACTCAGGCCCTCCCGCGCTCCCACCTGGGCCACGCTGCCAGCTCGGGTTTTGCCAAGGCCTGGAACGCACCAGCGTCCTGCCTCGGCTCTACAGTGCTGGGCTCAAGGCCAGGCCACCGCACCCGGCCTCCAAAGGTGCCGGGATTTGAACTCAGGGCCTACAGCTTGAGCCTGCGCGCCAGAGGCTGGGGCCCTGCACTCCTCTGTCCCTCCTTCCGCCCCGGGGCCCTGGCTGCATGGCGGACGCCCCTCACCTCTGTGCAGGCTCTTGAGCGTCTCGTAGGTGAAGAAGCTGAGGCCGGCGTAGGGGATGACGCCCAGCACGGTGGGCGTGAAGCCGTGGTACAGGGTCTTCAGCCCCTCGTCCCGGGAGATGCGGACGAAGACGTGAAAGATGTTGCTGTACCTGCGGGGGTCGGGGGCGCGGGGCTCAGCCTGCGGTGCACCCGCCTGGGCCCGCGCCTGCGGTTTCTCTATTTTGGTGCTGGGACGGAACCAGCTCGCCGTGCTCCCAGGCATTTTGAACGCCTCTGTGCCCCACTCTGGGTTGCATCCAAGCCGAACCCACCCGCCCCCTCTAAGAGGGCCAACCGCCGTCTCTCTGGAAGCTGGGTCGCACATCAGGCCTGCTCTGGTCAAGTGACAACTTTCTTTCTTTGGCGGTACAGGGATTTGAATTCAGGCCTTCAGGCTTACAATGTAGGCTCTCTACCACTTGAGCCACTCCTCCAGTTCCTGTTCCCCTGGTTATTTTGGAAATGGAGTCTAGAAAACTATGCCTGGGCTGCCCTCAAACCAAGATCCCCCTGATCTCAGCCTCCCAAGTAGCTGGGATTACACAGGTGAGCCACCGCACCCACGCCGGGTGGCAATTTTCAACACAGCGGCGGGACTCACATTTCCTTCGGGGTCACGGCCATCCTTGCCCTGACCAGGTCCAGGGGGTAGGTGAGTGAGGCCGCTGTGATTCCAGCCATGGCACCAGCCAGGAGGCGAGGCCACGGGGGCAGGGCTCTGAGGGGGGGAGAAAAGGGGGTCCCCGGTGAGGGGCTGCGATGCCGAGGCCCAGCCCTGAGAACCGCACATCTCAGCCCCAGCGGCCAAGGAGCACGAGGCTCCACGCAGGCTTCCTCCAGACTTGAGTTTATGGGGTCGTTTCGTGGGCCTCGTTTGGAGGTCTGCAAGGCCTCCTTCCCTGTTCCCCTGCTTGCATGAATGAACGAATAAGTGATGTGTATTGTCCCTAGGGCTCTGGGGACACAGTGGCCTGCACCCCTGGGAACCAGGATCTGGGGGGAGGAAGGACATCAGAAACCAAGAAAGGAACCGGCAAAGGAGTGTTCTGAAGACAGAAGAGGTGAGGAGGGCAGAGCTGGGAGTGGGACAGGGCCTGGCTTATGTGGAGGGCAGGGCTGGCAGCACTGACTATGGAAGGAGGGGCGGGGCTAGCTAAGTTGGGCGTGACTGTATTGCTGGGGGCGTGGCCGTGGTGGTGGCTGGCGATGGGGGCGTGGCCGCGCGGAGGGTGTGGAGGGCGTGGCCTGTGGGGGGCGGGCGATGGGGCGTGGCTGTGGGTAGGGAGGGTTGGCGATGGAGGGCGTGGCTGGAGATGGGGGCGTGGCTGTGGGGGAGGGCGGTGGGGGCGTGGCTGCGCGGGGGTGTGGCTGAGTGTGGGGGCGTGGTCTGGTGGGGTGGGCGGGGCCTCACTCTCCGCGGAAGCCGTAGTAGCGACCCAGGATGTGCTTGTACTCCTCGTGCGCGCTGAACTGGATGGCGGCGTAGGGCACCACGCGCACCATGGTGGCCGAGTTCCCGCGCCACAGGCTGAAGAAGCCCTCATTGAGGTAGGTGAAGTAGAGGAGCCGGAAGGCCTCCTGGGGGAAAGGGGAAAGGCGGATGGGCGTCCCACCTCCGGCGCTCCTTGCCGCCATCCCCGCATCGCGGCCCCGCGCCGGTCCCCTGCTCCCCTTCTCCCCGCGCCCCAGCGGGGGCCCCCAAACCCTGTGCCCCGGGAGCCGCCTGCGATTGACGGAATCGGATCGGGATGAGCTGGGCGAGGCGCTCGGTGGCCTGGCTTTTCAAACCCTTCGTTGCTAGAGGGAGCTGCAAGTGGCCCGTGAAGACGGGGTGGGAACGGCCAGCCCCTCCCCGCGGACACGCTCACAATGGGGTCCCTCCTTGGCGTGGGGCTCAGATGGGGTGGAGGCCGGGCGGAGGGGAGGGGAGGGGACCCGGCCACCCCGCCGCGCTCCCCCCAGGCCAGGGCTCTGCCCCGCCACTCACCTTGGCAGAAAACTTTTTCGAAGACACTGGTAAAGAGAAAAGCACGTGTCACCCACCTGCGTGACCCCCCAATACCAGAGGATGCTCCCGGCGCAGGGGGGGACACCAGCCCTGAGAAGGCACTCGCTCAGCCCCCATCCCCCAGACCCGCAACCCAGGACCCACACCCCAGGACCTGCACCCTGGGACATCGAGGGACCACGCCAGGGTGTGAGGATGACTCTCTTGGGGACCCCGTGCTGCACCCCAGTTCACCCAGACCCCACGGGGACAGTGAGGACAGGGGACTTTGACTCGGGGCTCCTGGCCTCCAGGACTGCAGAAGCAGCCCTGTTGCGGAGGCACCTGGTTTATGACACTCTGTGTTAGCAGATCAGAGAAAACTGATACAGTTTCTATGTGCACTACATAGAAAGTTTTTTTTTTTAAGACAGGATCTGGGACATGGGCCAGGCTGCCTGTGATCCTCCTGCCTTTGTTGCCCACGTGCTGGGATTACAGTCATGACCACTGTGCCCAGTTTATACACGGATCTTACTTATTTAAGTTTGTTTTGGGACCAGGGTTTGAACTCAGGGCTTCACATTTGCAAAACAGGCGCTGTTAGCACTTAAGCCACAACTCCAGTCTATTTGGCTCTGGTTATTTTGGAGATGGGGGTCTCAGGAACTGTTTACCCAGGCTGGCCTCAAACCACGATCCTCCCCATCTCCATCTCCCAAGTAGCGACAATCACTGGCATGAGCCACACTATGCCGGCTTAAAGGCATTTAAAGGTGAAGCAATCTTTAGTGGTCTAGGGGCCGTGGAGAGGAAAGGGAGGTGACTGCCTTGCAGCTCCTCCACACGGGGACAGGTGGCTTAACACTTACCTTGGAAGATGATCTTGGTTCGGTCCAGGGGAGCTACCGCCGTCTTGGCAAGAGCGCCAGCCAGGGCCCCAGACAGCAGGGAGCTGAGCACCTGCCGATGATCCCTCTGCAACAGAGCACACGCTCTGGTCAGCAGGGGTGGGTGGCAGTGTCTGCTGTGCTGGGGACCAGCGGGTGCCATCGACCCCCATGCAGGTGGGAGAGGCCCTCAAGCCTGCATGTGGAGGCCCCACCCCACAGGACACAGCAAGAGCCTCCAGGTTGATAGTGACCATCCCTACCACCAGCCCTCCAGAGTCCCACAGCTGTGGTCTCAACGTTAGGGCTGCTGTCCGGGCGGCAGCTCTGAGGCATGGCTAGCCCCCAGGCCTCAGTTTCCCCCTCTCAGCCAGTGGAGTGAGAGCTCCCTACTGGGCCCTGTGAGCATGGACAGACAGACAGACAGTCCCTACACACATCCACTGAGTGCTGGGCAGTGCGATGCCAGCGCTTTCTGTCTCCACCAGCTGCCTTCCTGTGTGATTGTTTTCTTTTTCTTTTTGTTTATTTATTTATTTTTGTGACACTGGTTTTGAACTCACGCCTCTGCACTTGTTAGGCAGGTGCTCTGCCACTTAAGCCACACCCCCCAAGCCCTTTTTGTGTTGGTTGGCTGTTTATTTTTTGGTGGGACTGGGATTTGACCTCAGGGCTTTGCACTTTTGCACTGCAGAGCAGGTGCTGTACCACTTTGAGCCACTCCTCCAGCCCATTTTGCTCTGGTTATTTTGGAGATGGGGTCCCAAGAACTATTTCTCTGTCCTAGCTGGCCTCAAACTGTGGACAGCAGCCCAGGGAGAGCCTGTGAGGCAGATGACTCGATATGGGGACTCGCAGGCCCATGCTGGCTGTTGTTTTGCTTTTGGGGTCAGAGTCCCACTGCACAGCCCAGGCTGGCCTGGAACTCAAGGTCCTCTTGCTTTCTCCTTCCTTGTGCTGGGGTCACAGGCGTGGCCACCATGCCCAGCTCAGTGCTCGGCTTCTTAACACAGAAAAGACTTTGCAGTGTGAGCCCCCACTGTGCCATCAGCTGGCAGCTCTGTCCTGCAGACCCCTCCCTAGTGTGTATGGGGACAGCACGTCTGTGTTCTTTCTGTGCTGCTGGGCAGTGCACTCGCCCTGTGCCTCATCCCTGTCGGTGGCCCTGGTGAACAAGTCCTCCTGCTGCCGGGTGCTCCTTGTGCCTGCGACTCAGGGAAAGGTGAGGAGGGCCCCAGGGTGACACGAGCTCAGCTTTTGACCCCATGGACTTTGAGAACTGTGGGCGTGGGCGCTGGTCAGGCCCCGGGAGTGTGGACTGCGGGCTGGTTCGGCCTGTGTTTCAGGCTGAGCTGGGAGAACCACACGGGGCCCAGGCCAGCCGACGACGAAGTCTTGGCTTCCTGGGGGAACCAGGGCGGGGCCGACCTTGTTTGTTTTCTTGGTCCGGCCCCTGCTCTGATTTCTCAGAGGGAACATTTCCTTCAGTGGATGCACAGGCTCCAGAGATGACCTTCCAAGCTCAGTGGATCCCTTCTCCCCTGCCATTCTCTACACTGTGGGGCCCAGAGGCCATCTACCTCCCCCTCAGGGGTCCCGGCCCATGTAGGGAGAGGCTTTGATGCTCTCTAGATGTTTGGGCTGGCTGAACCCCTGTCACCATCAGGACTTTTTTTTTTTTTGCCGGCACTGGGGCCTGAACTCAGGCCCTCGCACTTGCCAGGCAGGCGCTCTACCACTGGAGCTGCCCCTCCAGTCCTTTCTGCTGTAGCTATTTTTCAGGCACGGCCTTGCATTTTTGCCTGGGCAATGATCCTCCTACCTGTACGTCCCACGCAGCCGGGAGTACAGCCGGACTTGTTGCTTGTGCGGGGTTTTGCTGACTTTTTTGCTTGGGGTAGCCTTGAGCCACAGTCCTGATCTCTGTCTCCTGAGAAGCTGGGATCACAGGACCAGAGGGACTTGTGGTGGGCAACATGGTGGCTGTGTCTTCTACTGACCCCATGTGGCCTTTACTCACACACCTGTGACGAGTGCACAGATGCTGAGCTCGGGGAGGGAGGGGACCCTGAGGACGGCAGGGATGTGAGGCCAGCAGGGGCCAGCCACCGCCCCGCAGTTGTGTTGAGCTGAGAGAGGACCCCAGGAGGCCGGGCTACTTGCCTTTGCGGAGATGGGTGGGGACAGGACGGCTTCAGCATCCTCACTCAGGCGCACCGGGCCTTCCTTCACACCATCACCCATCCCAGGCCTGCTCGGACAGCGGGGACTCGGTCCTGGGGAGCGAGAAGGGCTGAGTGAGACGAGGCCAGCCCCAGTGGTTGGTGACTACTCCTCCCGAGGACTGGGTGGCCTGTCCCCAACCTGGCTTCAGCCCCCTACATGGAGAGGGCACCCTCTCTCGCTTTCTGATGCCACTGTCCCCAGGGCTGCTTGCTTCATCGCTGACAAAGGCCTTTCTGTCACTTCCTGCATGTGATTCTCACAGTCAGTTCCTTAACCTGGTTCAAGTAAAGCAGAGAGGGGAAGAGGCCACTGAAGTCACTCAGCAGACAGAATGATGGCATGGGGACAGGCTGGGGGGGCCCACCTTCCCAGACTCAATGAGCATTAGGACAATTACCAGGCTGCACGATGCCTTCCAGGGGGACCTTGCCTGGAGTCACCGGCCACCAAGACACGTTTGGAAAAGGACTCTTTCAGGCTGGGTGCTGGTGGCTCATGCCTATAATTTTGGCTACTTGGGAGGCTGAGATCAGGAGGATCTCAGTTCAAGGTCAGCCTGGGCAAATAGTTCATGAGACCTACCCCCATCTGCAAAGTAACCAGAGCCAAACAGACTGGAGGAGTGGCTCAAGCGGTAGAGCACCCGCTTTGCAAGTGTAAAGCCCTGAGTTCAAATCCCAGTCCCACCAAAAAAAAAAAAAAAGAATGAAAGAAAGAAAAGGTACTTTTTCTTCTGGCACCACTGCTTGCTCTGCAGTAAAGGGTCTCCCAAGGCCCACACACATCTCGGTCCCCTGTGGGTGGCCCTGAAGGTACCCTGAGGGACTGAGATGCTCAGTGCCCATGGTTTAAAACAATGCAGGCAGTTTTGGAGTACGGCTCAGGTGGAGAGTGGGCCTGGGTGAGATCCTGGGCTCATCTCCAGCACCGCAAAAAAACAACAACAAAATGAGAGGGATAGGAAATAGGAGGGTGAACGGGAACTCTGTGAGGTACAGAGGGAAAGGACACGTTCAACACCAGAAGCCAGAAGTGATGGGGGTCAGGGGAAGTGGAGCCAAGTGAAAGGCTCCCGACGACCAAGTGGAACGATCTGAACCACAAGAGGAAAGACAGGCGTGGGTTATAATGTAAAGGATAAACCTAATCTCCATGACCCCAAACTGACACGCAGGAACGAGTGACTAGAGAAAGGAACGGGGAGAAGAGGCAGTCGAAGCAGAGGAGGCCGGGCAAACGCACACCCCACCCCTTAGGGACTGGTACAGAAACAGGGTGTGAGAATGACTCTGAGTGGAGATACTCAGCACAGGCAGCTCAGCCAGGGGGTCACGGGCAACCCTGGCCACAGAAAGTCATGGCATGGTGACAGTCTGGGCAACGCTCCATGTCTGCCGGCTCCAAATCCTCAGATTCACCCAGACTACAGACTGAAAAAAATGTGTATATTTTAAATTGCATGTGTCAAGCCAGGCATGGTGGTGCCTGCCTGTAGTTCCATCTACTCAGGAGGTAGGAGGAAGGTCGTGGTCATGGCAGGCCGCCAGCAAAAGGGCTGGTGGCATGGCTCAAATGGTAGAGCGCCTGCCTGGCAGGTGTGAGGTCCTGAGTTCAAATCCCAGTGCCGCCAAAAATTGCACCGATCATGTGCACCTGTTCTTATGTCTCCATACGGGCTCAGTAATGGTGACAGAGGTACCATGCTGGTGTGAGGCCTCACTGAGGTGAGCTGGTATGGGAGTATAGGGTTCTCTGTTTGATCACAATAATCCCGTAAGGTGAAAACTGCTCCTAACATACAAACCAGCCACGGCCTGCCACCAGCTGCCGGGGCCACCTTTGGTCTTCCTACCAGCCTGTGGGGTGCCCTGAATCCCCTTCAACCCACCCCAGCACTGGGGACCCAGATGCACCTGCCAGATCTGGTCACAGGCACGGATAGCAGTTACATTGGAGAATCAGGGCCAGGCAGCCTGGGTGTGGCTGCATCTTTGGCCAGATGGCCTGAGAAAGAAGTCAGCTACTTGCTGTCCCCAGGCAATGAGCAGGTGGCCGCAGCCAGGTGGCGGCCAGCACACCTCCCTCCCTTGCCACTCCCGGGAACTGGGAGATCCTATCTTGAGTTTGGGATAAGAGCTTCCACAGGTGGCAGTGCTCCGAGAGTCTGACAGCTCAGGCCCTGGGAACTCGGAGCAGATGGCTCAGGTGGGACCTTGGTGTCGTGCCCAGAGACAGGAGCCAGCATGCGCCCCAGTGCTGGGCACTTCAGATGACCCAGAGCTGGGGTGGATTGGGGTGATGGCACCTGCTGTAGTTTGGATGTGGACTGTCCCCGCAAAGGCCCATTGCCGAAGGCTTGGTCTCCAGTGTGGGATGGTACTGGGAGGTGGTGGGACCGTTAGGAGGTGAGGCCTGGAGGGAGGAAGTTGGCTCACTGGGGGTGTGACCTTGAAGGGGATATTGGGGCCCTCGTCCCTTCTCTCTCTTTGCTTCCTGGCTACCATGACGGGAGCGGCTGCTCCACCATGCGCTGCCCCCTCGTGAGGAATGGTGCAGCCATGATGAGTGAACAGTGCTCTTTTTTTTTTTTTGGGGGGGGGGACA